CCCCCGGCATATATTTCATCCACCAACTCTTTCAACTGATCATCTCCTTTCTAAGAGAAAAATCCTCCCTATCGAACCCATTTCATTAAAACCTCAGTCTCCAATCTCCCTACTCAAATCAGCTCCGAGGTTTAAGATCCTCATGTTCAAGAAATCAAAGTCAATGGCATCGCAGAAAACAGAGAAAACAGGGGCGCCGGAGTACTTGAAAGCAAATAACAAGAAGAATGAAAGCAACAAGCTTTTCACTGTCAAGTTCAAGCTTGAAGAGGTCACAAATATTTCTTTCTTCACCAAACAGAACAGCTTGAGAAAGCAGATCCCTCATGAATCCGATGACAACGATACATCAAAGCGGTTTTCAAAGGAAATGATACAGAAGTACCTGAAGCTAATCAAACCATTATACATCAAAGTTTCCAAGAAGCATACTGACAAGATGAAATTCTCCAGTGAGTTATCAGTTGCGTCTCCGTCATCTTCTCCGGCAACGGTGCCGGCGAAGGAGAAACAGGGGAGTTTTCCGGCAGGGATTAGAGTGGTTTCTAGGCATCTTGGAAAAAGCAAATCAGCTTCAGCGACCACAGGACTTTCTCATCCAGTTGTGAGCAGGAGAGATGATTCTCTGCTGCTACAACATGATGGGATTCAAAGTGCCATCCTGCATTGCAAGAAATCTTTCAATTCTTCAAGAGGTAATATAGCCGTTTTGTTCCATTTGTGCTCTTTGATTTTTTGTTTTCAAAATTATGATCAAAATACAACTTCTTACGTGTTTTTTTTTTTCAGATTCTTCGTTAATGTCAAGATTCGTGAGTGACCCTTCGCACGAGAAATCGATGTCTTCACCAAGGATTTCATCAAGCGAATAGACTGGAATGAGTTAAGCTCTGTTTCTTGGAATTCAAGAGAGCACAAGCGGGAAATATACAAAGAAAAGAAATTTTATAGGGTTTTTTTCATGTTTGATCATGTAAAGGAAAAGAAACGGAAAAAATTAGAGAGAGCTGGTAGCTTTTGTTAATAGGGTTTATTCCAGCTGCTGTTGATGTTGTTGCCTGTAAAGTAATGGTTCATCATGGGAAAACTTGAAAGAAAGTCTGAAACTGGATCTTTTGTTGTATCTAATCTTATTTTGATACCTCAAAGCGTTGTGCAAGCTAGTCCTCCATGTCAAAAATGTAATCATATCTAGATTTGATAACTGAAATGACTTTGATTGGTTTGCAAGAAAGTTTATTTTTCCTCCATTGCTTGTTGGAGTGTTTTCCACGTTGTATAACAGGGCGTGATGAAAATGTTCAGCATGGTTCCTGGCTAATTTTCCCAGGAAAAAACTACCCGTCTAATTCATTTAGAAAGTTGTTTTAGAATCTGATTTGCTTTGATGAATATATTTTAAATGGCCCAACACCAAATCATCCAAGCAGTAATTGAGAGGAGGAACTAGCAGGGAATAGCAGTATATATTATTCATGGGATCATTGCTTAAGCCGAGGCTTCTCTCAATCAAGTTCAAAATTTATGTGTGGGGCAACTTGTTTGGTGGTTGATCATTGATGTGGGCAACTTGTAGATAATTGATTGATCACCATTACCAAGATGCTTTCTAACTAGAGAGGTCCCGGAACTATCTGATTAACTAAATTGGGTTTAAGAATGATGACAGTACCAAAGATTCTTGTCTTGTTTGCTCTAACGAGTGCAGGTAAATAGTGAGTTGGGGGGCCATATTACCTTGCAGGAGATCCAAAGCAATTTATTTTCATCATGGCAGGGCAACGATAATGCTCTCTGAAAAGCACTTATGAACAGTAAGAGAGTATTTTATTTGTAGTAATTTATTAGTCTAATTTTGTTCAAATCAGAAAAACTGAGAAAGGATATTCATCGTGGTTGATGCCTCTGTGACTGTGAGTCTCCCTCTGACCAGTGACCACCTGTCCTGTACCTATTTTTTGCTGACAATCTATGACTTGAAGATTCAAATTGTCTGTTGGGTGCAGCCAGGACACTGCCAGCGTAAAAGCCCACCTTCGTTGAACATTACCAAATTACATTATTTATGCAATTTCTTCTTTTAAAATAAGATAATATCATATTGTTAATTAAATTCAAATAGTATTGAATGCTACAAACACAAAACATTACACTTGACTAGCGTTTATTTATAGTTTTGAGATTGAAAAAGTCAAGAAAATAAAAATAAAAAATAACATAAAATAATTTTAAAATTAATTTTTATTGTTTTAAAATATGAGATACAACTCATACAAATAATAATTATAATATTTTTATCATTTAAATATTTATATAAAAAACTTTTAATTCCAAACTTGTCTAATTAAGTCATGCAATGGTACAAGTATCTATTATGATAATTTTAAAAATTAACTTTAAAAGTGATCTAGAACAAAACTTAAATCATTAATTAAGAGGTTTCATTTAAATCAACCTCATGTTTTATTAAAAATTAATTAAAATGATATTGGCTTGATTAAGTTTTCTTTTTAGAATTAAAGGGTTTTTTATCTAAGTTTTGACTAGGTCATAAATTAATTAAAGTTTTTAACCGAGTTAAGTCAGTTCACTTTTTCTTTTATTTTTTTTTTAAATCAAGATTATTCAGATGTCGAGACAACTTGTCAAGTTAATATCAGTTTTATAAGTATAGTTATCACACTATTATTAATTTCAGCACACTATATAAATTAAATAAAAAACAATATCTAATTATTATTTTTAAATATTTAAATTTGACAATAACACATATTAAAAATTAAATATATCTTTTTATATTTTACTTTTTCTTATTTATCAATAACTAAACAAGATATTAAAATAATTATTTTATTTTATATATTATTATCAAACACAATTTTATTTTTATTATATATGTTTTGTTTTGTTTTTTTATCTTTATTTTTATTATTATTATTATATAATAAATAAATAATATTTGTATAGTAGCGGGGGTGGGAGCTAGCAGGCCCAGCCCTGTAATTTTTTTTTCCAGCCCCTCTCTTATAAATATTTTAATAATAATTGAAAATTTAACTTGACTTTTTTTAATTTTTAATTTCACCCTAATTTTTTTTTATTCTGCCCTTGCCTGTATTATAATATGAAATAGGATTAAAAGAGTAATATTTAAATGATATAAAAGTAAAATTATATGAGAAAGAGCAAGTAAAATCACATGAGAAAAGGTAAAGAGTAATTGAAGCTTTGCTCTTAAGAAATCACGTCATTTAGTCCTATTTAGACAAGTTTTGGATTTCTTTTCTCCACCAAATAAAACACCTCAACATGTCTAAGTTTTGCCATCCATCTTATTCTTAAATACAGGAGTTCTAAGCATATATGTGAACATCAAAGGATTAAACTCACAATAATAACAATCTAAATCCAAGATTTTGAAATAAAATGAATCGAAAAGGAGTTGGATAGAATACACTTTTGACTAAAAGAGAAAGCTAAAGGAAAAGAAAGGCAATTAAAGGGCAAAGATGGGGGGATGCTTTATGAATAACACCAACGGTCGTCCCCATTAAATTTTTTTAAGGATAGAGTTTAGAGAGAGAGAGAACAGAGTACGAGAATATGTTGTTCGATAATATCTTTAAATATTAAAACAAAATCCTTTTAATTTTTTTTAAAAAAACTTTTATGCTATAATTGGCTGGCCCTCGAGCACCATGATCATCAAATCCTAAACACATCATTTCTAACCTTGGATGATAATGCAATAAACAAATCCGTTTACTTTCTCCATTAATGTTATCATGATTTTTTAAGTATGGGTGTGATTATTTTTTAAAATATTTTTTTGTTAAAATATATTAAAATAATATTTTTTATTTTTAAAAATTATTTTTAAATTTTGTATATCAAAATAAATCAAAATATAAAAAATTATATTTAATAAAAAAAATTTAAAAAAAAACACTTGTTCCTAGACAGCTTTTAACAAGCTGGTTGTGATAGTTTTTGTTTTCTAATTTTTTTTTAAATTTAATAATTTTTAAATACTTTTTTATATTTTTACATTATATATATAAAATATTTAAAAAAATAACTTGCTAATAAAATGTTCAGAAGCTGGACAAATCAAGTTATTGTGACTAGAGTTCGCCGGAAAATGACAGGCAACATGTTATGTCATGGTAGACATTTTCATTTTCCCTTTGCTTTGGCACACAAAGACACGAAATGAGCACAAAAATCCATGGCTATAATCTTAAAGAGTTCAAATTCAAAGAGCAAACATCATGAATTGGAGACAGTTGAAAGATGGAGAGCAGGAAATTCCATATCAAGGTGGGAGAGAGAGAGAGAGAGAGAGGCTTGCTTGGTCATTAATGAAAGGAGGGCTAGAGGCCCAGCAATCTCACTGGAAGGAAGAGGCATCAAATTTCCAAAGCACACATCATGGTGACAAGAAATGCCGAGTGACCAGAAAACATAACCCCACCTTCCTATTTCAGTCTACTCCCTGAACCACCGCAAGCTTGGCCCCTTTCATTAAGACTCGGTGGGGCTGTTTGGCGATTTGGTCTCTATTCGCCGTATGCAGCACTCAAATGGTTTTGAAAAAAAGGGATCAATTGAATTGACCGTCTGCATTACGAGGTGTTTGTGAATGTGTTGTTTTTTAAAGGTTTTTTTAAAAAAAATATATATATAATTTTTTTTATTTTTTAGAATTTAATCTAAATATTAATACATTAAAAAACGATATAAAATATCAACAAAATAATCTGTATCAACAAAAACAATTGAAATTTATTCGATTTAATGACAAACGGGGACTTTGTACGCTTGCCGAGCCAATTTCAAGTCCTCAGAATATCTAGTTTCTAGACGGGGGGTAAAAGGATCCTTACAAAGATATCTGTTGCAGCCCGAGCTTCTCCTTGAAATCATACAAAATCAGATAGCAAAGATGAGTTCGCTTTGTGAATGGCTTTGGAGAACAAAAAAATCGGACGGATGTTTATTGCTACTAAAACATGGTTGCTAGGCCGCTGCTCCCAAGTGACCTGGGAAGCGGCTCGATAACTTTGAGACAAGGATGCTAAAAGCACGGTTCAACGCACTAACCACTGAGCAGAAAACCACCGAAGATGGCTCGAGTAAATAAAGGTGTTCAAGTTTTTGAGGTTAAAATTCATGGATCCAGATCAGAGGGGGCTGTATACGGTGCACCAAGAGAATCTATCTAGCTACATGAACAAGAGACCAGGCAGGGCAGCACAATATCTTCATCGGAGGATCATAGATTCGCCATGTTTAACTCCCCTTGTTGAGCTTGTGTAAGATGCAGTTTGGTGGCATTTTTATGAAGATGATATAGAGGGCGGGCATCATGTGAGCCCATCTCCCAATTTTATCCTTCTCGTTAGAGAAACTGAAACCCT